CATGATTTTGGAATCAGGAGGTTTAGATCTCTGGCCAGTATGTACAAACCTGAATGCATTATGTGGCAGATTTGAACATCACAAATGTGAATTATTTATAGCCTTGGTTTTTAAAATTTTTTTAGGGAGAGTACACATGCACAATGAATGCATTGAGAATAATAAAAGCAACAATTTTTTATCTAGTTTATAACATCCAAAGTTTGTTATAATTTATCTTTGTGTTTGAAACAAAAGTGCTTTGTTCTTACCAAAGTATGTCTGTTATGTGTTAAAGGACAAAGAAGACCCTAATGGATACTTGATGAAACGTGCTCTCTCCTGCCCAGTCCTCATCGTGAGTCCGTCCAACTGCCTACTAGCGGTAGGATATGTGCCAATCAATACGTTTCCTAAAAACGAAGTTACAAACGGTGCTTTATATCTTATGGCATACTATTACACCCTACATCTTACATCCCCAAAGTGTGTAGCCACTCTGCTTTCAGTTATTCAGACAGAGGTTCTCTTGGACAAAATTCATGAGAGAGACCTCACATCTTCTTAAAAAAAGAGCATAACTGAGTGGAATGCCTTTATTGGCCAGTAAAACAAGTCTGATCAGATGTGGACTAAACAGTTCCTCACTCCAAAGCTCCTATGCAGGCCATGTTGCTTTCTGTTTTGGCCAGGTTTGCCAAGTGTTAAGGGTTCACCATAGTATCTGCTAACATGCAAATATTTTGTGATTGATTTTTGTTGTGAAGATACTGCCTATTTCTTTTATTCATTTTTAAGTTTTCTGTTGTTATTGACTTTAGATGGTGTACTCGGCAGAAGCGCTACAGTGAAAAAGTAAACTGAATAAGTAATTAGTTTGTTATGAAATATTGGATATTAATGAAAAATCCAGTTACATCGTTAATGTTAATTTTACCATGTTAAAATGTGTGAGGAATGTGGTCACATGTAATGTTGCCATAAAACCTTAATTTAGAGGTTAAAAGTGCTTAATGAAAAAGTTTAAAGTTGAGCAATTTTATTGTGCCAAGCAGTTCTTGTGTTTTGGCTGTACTTGTGCAATGCATTGATTTTACAGGTGAATTGAAACGCTGATTATTCAGAAATAAAAGTGGCAGTGAAAATTTCTTGCAGTCCTCATGTGGCTTAAAGTTCGTTTGCTTTCAAGTTATTTGTTTTCCAAGCCGCAGGTAAATGACTTGAATCCAGTCCAGTATTACTGCTATTTGGCCTATATGTGACAGTGTGAGCGTTCTGTAACAGTGTCTCGATTGATCATGTGCCCTGGCTACTTGGCCAAGGGGATGTCCCTTTGGCTGACTGGTTAGCGCGCGTGACTCTCACCTGGGAGTCTGGGGATTGAATCCCACCCAGGCCCTTATTTCTCCACCTTGCCACAAATAGAATGGTGAATGCACTAGAAATGGAGAATTTTGACTAAAAATTCCAATTTTTTATCTCATATCAAATAAGGTTTTGCACTTAAAACAAGCACAGTATTACATTTAGAGCTGAAAACAACAAGTTATATACACTTAAAACAAGAACAGTGGTGCCATAGCTTCACAAACTTAATCTTGTTTTAAGTGATGTTGAACTTAAATCTAGAACAGTGTCACAGTGTTAAAACTGAAAAAAGTCAAATGCACTTAAAACAAGGATGGTGATGATGAAAGGATTAAAAGAGAATGCTACTTTTCGGGGAGGAAATACTTGTTTTTAGCTCCATAAACTTCTTATGACACACACAATTTCAGAATACACGTATAATATAGCTTAAAATGAGACAATTCTTCTAATTTCAAGATATTTTAAGGGTTATTATATTGTCTTATTTCAAGAAATCTTGTCAAGATAATTTTTACTTGTTCCATTGGCAGATTTCTTTACTTATTTCTAGGGAAAATATCTTGTTTTTATTTAATTTTTTACTTATTTTTGGAGGGCCATTTTTTCCAGTGGTGAGAATTAGAAGCCCTGGGTAATTTGGTGATTGCTAATCATCTCTCTACATAGTAAAGGGGGTTTATTGGCAATTAATGTCACGCCCACTACACTGAATGCAGGCCAAATCTGAGATTTGAAATATCTAATTAAGAGTGGAGCTAGTCCGGCAAATTGGCTTGCAACAACCACAGTCGCCAATTCTTGTCATGTGTCTATGTATGTATGTATGTCTGATCTTGGAATTGTCTGTACTGAGACAATTGCCCCTCAGGCAGGGGCAATCAGTTTCCCTCTGGGATTAATAAAGTATTATTGAATTGAGGTGGTGGGCATCTCAGGAGTCTATGAGAAGCTGACCTCACTAGCTCAGAAATATCTAGCCACTCCTGCAACCATTGTTCCCTGTGAACGACTTTTCTCAGTTGCAGGTCACATTGTGAACAAGAAAAGGTCAGCTTTACTTTCGGAAAACATGAACAAGTTAGTTTCCCTCAGCAACTGGCTGAAAGAGGAAAAAGCTCAGTAGATTTGAAAGGTGATGTGTAAACAAGAAGACCAGTTTCAGTGCAACATGATATAGTAGTTAGGCTTGCTTGAGCAACTGGATTAGTGAATATAGGAAAAGGTAAAATATTGTTCTTTTGATTTAACTTAAAAGTTTTACTGAAAATATTTTTTCAACACAAAAACGCAAAGGATGACTCAAATTGTGTATGATAAAAATGTGGTGGGCCACAGTTATGCTTTGACTACATTTATTGCTTTCAGTTCTATTGAATACTGTATTGTACATCCTGGTTAATAGGAATACCAAAAAGGAAGCGGTGGGACATTGCAAAGACAAATATTATGGTGTGTAGTATGTTTCAGCTTGATTTAAACCACCATTATTTGGCTGTGTTAATAAACAGACATAATATGAAAATTGTGTATCTGTATCCTGTTATTTATCCTTTGGTATGCATTTCAGAAAAAAACTGGTTAGGATTCAGGTGTGGTTTCAAATAGTGAATAAACCTGATTAATCCACTGAACATTCTGATTAATCTGATTAAAAATTTTTATCATTTGACAGCCCAGTCGTATTTACAATAATTTCATTTAGACCAAAATAATCTGCTTGTATGATGGATTTCTGGTCTGGGTCAATGCTTTAGAAGTTAGAAGTTAACCCATCAACTAGGGCTGGGCGATATGGCCTAAAATCAATATCACGATATATTGAGGATTTCACCTCGATAACGATAAATGGACGATAACTACAGGTATGCACATAAAGCAAAAGTTGTCCACTAGATGGGGCTGTCACGTGTATCACGGTGAGTCACATTTCTACGTGACTCAAGGTGGTACAACTTCTTAAAGGTAACGTTGCCAACCTACACACATCTTTTCATTTTTTTAATATCAAATTTATTGACAGGAAAAATGATTTCGATATAAGTCAGAATTTTCGATAACGATAATTTTTCGGTTTATTTCCCAGCCCTACCATCAACATATAAAAAATGGACATCCCCATAGCTCTCCCTGTTAGTTGATGCTGCTGCTGACTGAGGCATCGCAAAACTGAGGCTCATCTATGGCCACTGGGTTGGCTGGCATACCTGTTGAACACCTAAAGTATGCTAGCAGTAGTTAGCACCACTCCTTGCTATATGCATTTCATAATTTCTTGCTCATAGATGTTTGCCTAATTCAGTGCTAGCTGTTCTGTTGATCCCAGTAATGAAAGACAAGGGTGGGAGAGGTGGTAGCATGGATACCTATAGGTCCATTGCTCTGGCTAGCACTCTCTCAAAAGTCTTGGAAAGAATTCTGCTGGACAGAATTAATGATGCCTTAAAAATCACAGCCAATCAGTTTGGCTTTGAGTCTGAGCGTGGTACAAACATGTGTATAAATGCCCTAAAGAAGATCGTGACCAAATACAGAAACCAGAACTCCTCAGTCTCTATGTGCTTCATTCCAGCATTTCATTCATTGTCTCAGTTATTTTGTTTCAACCATCATTCAGCATAATTTGTTCATTATTGTTCCTGACCCTCAACCCAGGTCTGCCTGCTGCCCGTCCGGCCTGCGCTCCCACCGCTCACCTTTCCTGAAGTCCTGGACAATAACCCGTTCGACTCTTCAAGCCACCACCTTGCCTACAAGCTCACCACCTCCTCAGATCTTACTCCTTCCCTCCCCCTCGAGCCCTCAGCTGCCAACAATACAGTAGGCCACAACTCTCCGTTCACATGCGCTACCAGTCTGCAGCCAGTTAATTCACTCATTTCCAGAAACTCTCAAGCCCGAGACCATCGCCACACATTGTGTCCTCCCTCAGTTTTCCTTAAATCAACCCTGTTTGCTTTGATTTCCTGTGTCCGAGACTGATTCTCCGTGTCCTGGGTCAAAAAACTCAACCCCAACATGTCAACTATTCATAAAGCTGCTGCAAAGAGGTGTTACAAGATACATTGTACACATCCTGGTTTATTGGTATGGTAAGCAAATGTTACACATAAAATGGGGTAACAGTATCTCTGAGCCATTTAAGGTCACTAATGGAGTCAGACAAGGAGGTGTTCTATCCCCTCTTCCTTTAAACCTGTACATGGATGATTTATCAGTGAGGTTAAAGGTCAGCAGGACTGGTTGTGCAGCGGGTGGTGTCATAAATCATCTGATGTATGCAGATGATTTAGTGGTTCTAAGTCTGAGCACCGCTGGTCTACAGCAGCTACTAGATATCTGCTCTGACTACAAGTAGAACACAACATTGTGTATAATGCAGCTAAAAGTGTGGTTAGGATTCGCCGGGCCGAGGAGGACGAGCAAATGAAGTTTCCAGAGTTTTATCTGCCAGACTCTGTGATTAGTGTCACCAAGAATGTTAAACATGTTGGTCATATCATCACTGAGGACATGAGAGATGATGTCATGTACAGGCACTGCTGTATGTTATATGCTCAGAGAAATACACTCGCTCCTAAGTTTGGGTCTTGCTCTGATAAAGATAACCTTGTTTAAGGCTTATTTACATATCTGAAAGGTGGCAGCCCTACCTGTGTCCATGCTGTCCAGGTCCAGGTGGTGAAGAACACACGATGAAGCAGTCCCAGCTGATGGATGATCCTGAAGTGGTAGCAGGCTTTCTTTAGCCGTGTTTAGCTAACAGCTGCAATAGAAACAAAGCAGGAGAGCTGATTAAGATGCTGCTTCAGAACAACGCAGGAAATTAAAGATCCAACGCTTTGGTTCTGATCAGCTGAGGACAGATCCAGTCTGGAAAAGAGGACCTTTGGTCACCAGAGTTCACGGAGTAGAGCTAACCGCTTTTTCCTCCAGAGTCACATTCAGATTCGGGGCTTTTCCGTCGGAGAGTGTGAGCAGGATGGACCAGAGCGAGCAGCGATCCTGCATCATGACCAACTCAGATGAGCGAGTCTGATAGAGGGAACCTCTTCAATCTGATGAAAGAGAAAAATCTTCTCTGGTTCTGGAAAGAACTCCACCAAGTTGCTGAGGAGAAGAACGTTTCCACAGCCTGGTGAGAAGATTTCTGCAGCAGCAGCAGTTAGTTGCTTTAACTGATCAACTTTCCCAGAGACTGAAGTAAAGACATTTTTACTGCAGAGCCTCAAATTTTCTCCTCACACACCAGAACAACAGCAAGCTAGCTCTGCTAGCAGCTTTCGGTTTCTGCTTCTTCTGGTGGTCGGTGACGAGCGTAAAGGTGCACTAGCGCTACTTGCTGGAGCTTAAGAAAACACATCTATGTGTTCAGAATTGGACTAATAAAACACACATAACATCTATGATATTTTTATTATTCTAGGTGGTCTCTTCAAAAGCCACGAAAAACAAGTAAAATATTTTTTTCTTTATGACGTTTTTAATCTAAATCTGACCAGTTTTATTCTTTATGAACTTCAAACAAACTAAAAAATCTTACTTTCTATAAAGAATGTGGTAGAAACTTTTGATGCTGTTGCTTTTATTTTTAGGAGCTCTGTGAAGCAAATAAAAAGTGTTGGGAAGGTGCTGATTTAGTTATTATAGCTTCATGTAATGCTTGGTGAGGCCACCAGAGGGCGACACTCTTGTTTTGTCCACTCACTGAGCTCTGATGGGCAAAAGTAAAAAAAATTAGTTTCTATTTAGAATAAATAGTCCTCATATGTAATATAATATAATAAATACTCAGTATAACGATATAATACATGTGTAACTGTTGTGCTTGTCACTCAAGTCCAGAATCATGTCTTCAGTTTCTGAGGTGTTTATGGACAGGTTGTCTCCAGAGCACCATGGGTTAGTGGTAGGACAATGGAGACAGGCTTTATAACTGGACACAAAGACAGAGACTACCATCTACCAGGAGCTTGTTGTGTTCATCATTTAGAGCACTCTGTGCATCACCCACTTACAAAATGGTGCTGCAGCTGATGGACACTGAGAATCAAAAACAGGAAGGCTGGAACGCAGGTGAGCGAAGGTTTATTAAAACAGAATAGAACAGATTAACAGACCATTTTCTATAAAAGCTTCCAGTGTGAAAGAGAGAGCAAGGCAGAAATACAACAAGTTATTATGCTCTTAAATAGATAAGATTCGTTCAGATCTTAAATAAAATAAAGAGCAATAGGAAGCAGGAGAGACTGTTCTCAAAGCCAGCCTGAACAGGTGAGTTTTCAGCTGCTTCTTAAAGGAGACCACTGAGTCCACTGATCTCAGGCTCATTGGGAGAGAGGTCCAGAGTCTGGAGGCCACAGCAGCAGATGATCTGTCCTCTTTGGTCTTTAGCCTGGTGCTGCACAACCAGTAGGCTTTGGTCACTGGACCTCAGGAACCTGCTGGGGGTGTAGGGACTGAGAAGATCACCAATGTGTGATGGTGCTTTGTCCTTGTAAGGCCCTAAAGACCAGAACCAGGATCTTTAAATGAACCCTGAAGTTGACTGGCAGCCAGTGAAGATGGAGGAGAAGCAGAGTGTAAGTGCTTTACACTGATGCCAACGATCCCTCTGACCACCACCAGCAGGCTAGGCGGATTAAGCGTTAAATGGTATTCTATACTTTTCAGCAACACTCCAAAAGTGAAACCTTAGGTCAGCAGCTCATCATTGTGGAACAATACTGAGCCACCTCTTGATGGAAACATTTACAGCTGAGTGGCCACAATACGGAGCTTGCAGGACAGGAAGAGGTGGATCATGGTCTGGAAGAGACCATGATAGGGTACAGGACAACAATCAGGGTTGCAATACTATCTAGGATCTAGATACTACAATGATAATTTTGGTAGTTGTGTAGTTAAATAGTTCATTGAGCCCTGTGTGGACACTCATGTGTCGGTTTAAAGTTGTCTTTTGGCAAAATCTTTGTCCACAGAGTTTACAGGCAAAATGCTTCTGAACTGTGTGGACTCTCGTGTGATTGTTTATTGATGCCTTATTGATAAATGTTTGTCCACTTTGAAACTACATGTGAACGCTACCATGTTCGTATGAGACCGAACTGACACCATCGCCTCTCGACTGTACTGACCTAATGTGTAAGCGCCATTAGTGACGGAAGACCATAGCCATTAAGGGCTGTTCAAATGTTTTGAAAATAAAAACAAAACAAAAAGTGGAAACAACCAATAAGGGAGTGTCCAGAGCTCCTCCTGTTCTCCTTTATGTGGAGGTGTTCTGGGTCCTGCTGAATGTCACCAGCACTCTGTTCTTCAGGAGCTTCTTCTTTAACCAGCACCACATGTTGAACATCTGTAGGGAACACATTATGTGAATTACCAACTGATGTATTTTTTGGGCACTTACACATTAGCGTCGGCACAGTCAGCATTTGGTCGGACTGGATGGCGTCAGTTTGGGCTGGTACGGGCGTGTAGTGTTCACATATAAATCCGAGGAACTTCTCAAGAATGCAGAAATCCCGTGTTGGTTTTGGAGACTCTGAACCACATTATTTTATTAATTTGCTGTGTGTGTCCTCATAAACTTTGCCACACACACACACACACACACACACACACACACACACACACACACACACACACACACACACACACACACACACACACACACACACCGGAAAAAGCAGAAACCGGAAGCTGCTAGCGGAGCTAGCTTGTTGTTGTTCTCGTGTGTGAGGAGAAAATTTGGAGCTCTGCAGTAAAAATGTCTTCACTTCAGTCTCTGGGAGAGTTGATCAGCTAGAGCGACTAACTGCTGCTGCAGCAGAAATCTTCTCACCAGGCTCTGGAAACTTTCTTCTCCTCCTCAACAACTTGGTGAGTTCTTTCCAGAACCAGAGAAGATATTCTGCGCTCTTCGTGACAATCGGAGCTCCAGAATCAGGTCGTGGGTCAGAAAAGCTTTTCTCTAGACTTCCTGCCCTCTGGATCTGCTGCTGTTCCTTTGGTCTTTCTGAGAAACGCGCTCGTTTAGCTGCTTTCATCAGATTGAAGAGGTTCCCTCTATCAGACTCGCTCATCCGAGTTGGTCATGATGCAGGATCGCTGCTCGCTCTCTGATCCATCCTGCTCACACTCTCCGACGGAAAAGCCCCGAATCTGAATGTAACTCTGGAGGAAAAAGCGGTTAGCTCTACTCCGTGAACTCTGGTGACCGAAGGTCCTCTTTTCCAGACTGGATCTGTCCTCAGCTGATCAGAACCAAAGCGTTGCATCTTTAATCTCCTGCGTTGTTCTGAAGCAGCATCTTAATCAGCTCTCCTGCTTTGTTTCTATTGCAGCTGTTAGCTAAACACGGCTAAAGAAAACCTGCTACCACTTCAGGATCATCCATCAGCTGGGACTGCTTCATCGTGTGTTCTTCACCACCTGGACCTGGACAGCATGGACACAGGTACTGGTAGATGAATGAATATATTGTCAGTCTATGGTGGGTCATTACAGTGAAATTATGAGAATGAGGTTCAATCTTTAAAATAATGATCTGTATATGTTTAGCACTACTGGGGCTCTAAAACCCCCCAAAGCTTTTTACATCACAACCAGTCTTTCATTCATTCACACACTATTGTATAACCTTGAAGTTTTAGAGTGATTAGATCTCTGTAATGAGTCATATTTGAAGCCGAGTATAGTGGTCATGTGACTCGTATTGATCCAAATAATTTTTTGTTTTGAGGGTCCCAAAAGTCCCAAAGTCATCGTCACACACTGGTGAAGTTATGTCCTGCATTTGACCCATCCCCATGGGGAGCGGTGAGATTAAGCTGTGGTAACTATTTGGTCTTCTGTCGGGTTTCAGTCACTACGAGAATCAGAGACAGGAGAGGTTTTCATCTGGTTCACAACCTACCTTTGTTGTAGCGTCAGTCACACACCATCATTTGACCAATCACAGTTGGGGAGACAGCATGCTGCAGACACGACGGCAGCGGCGCTGACAGCACGTATGGCTGCTGTTGCTTCAGCATGTCGCTGTGGTTTAGAGCTTAAAGGCCCATTGTGTAAAAACATTCGACTGTTTAGCGCCAAGCAGTTCAGAGTAAGTATTGCAGCTCCTGTAGCCCACACTATGGTTGGGCTGTTTTTCCATTCGCCCATCATTAGTCCAGTAAATGACGATGGGCCGTGGTTTGTGCATTTGACTGATTAAGGTATGATTCACTGACTGATTTGCGAACACAGAAGTCTAAACATGGATATTGTTTTATGGATGTGCAACACAAATTAGATTTTTCTTTTTGTTTAACTCACTCATTGCCAGCTGTTTCCTGATCAGAAAAGCCCTTCGCTGCCAGCGTTTGTCAGCTTTTTTACTGTTTTTTCCGAGCGGAGTCACGTTCACGTTTGAAAGCAGCGCTGAATCCAGAAACATCAGCACAAAGTGCGTTCGTTGCTCTGAGCCAGCATGACGAACAAGGGAACAGCACTGCAAACTCTGTTCGGGTGTTGCTTTCCAAAAGGGTCTATGTAGGGGGCGGGCGTATTACGTGAACGGAACCATCTGATTGGCCGCATATCAGAAGGACTACATTTGATTGGTCAAATAATACTTCCGCGTAAAAAACAGAGCTGGTTTACAAAAAGCTGATGTGTGACACGGATGGAAATGTTTGAACCAAACATTTATCGCCGTTTTTGACGTGCTTTGCGATGGGCCTATCGCACGTCCTGTTATCGCGATGACGATAATTTTTCGATATATCGTGCAGCCCTATCAACAATGCAATTTATCGGTTTTCTTAAAGTAGGAACATTTAACCTGTGGCCAGAGCTCTCTCCTTCCTTCTGCTCTGCGTAAACCTGAACTGGTCACCTACTTGTGCGTAATCAAATGTCTATAGGGAAAAAGATGGAAAAGCTATAGCCATGAGGTTCACTTTTGCCTCAGACTGACTTATTGCTGTTTTATGGTGTGACTGAATCTGCGATCCGCTGTCACGCGGACTGGAATAACAAATGCTGCAGTAACATGAGTTGTGGTCAGGTTCATGAGGAGTCACTGGCTCGATTTTAATACGTCATCCCAAAATAGAAGCTAATATCTTAATTTGACCTTGAATGAAAAATGTTGTTGTAAAACCTCTCAAGTTTTTTTATCATGGAGGAGGCAGCGCTCATTTCTGCCTTCAGTCTGACGGCGCGGCACAGCGCAACGCCACGCAGCGTGTGCTTATTGAATCTGTGTGTGTGTGTGTGCGCGCGGCACGGCTCCATGAGCCGCTCCAGTCACCGCGTCTCGTTATTGGCGCTATTCAAACCAATGTTGTAAAATTACTTCTGCCCAGCCCAGATGTGCTCACATGTACACCCGTGAGCCGTGGTTCAGCTGGAACGCGTCTGACCTCTGACAGACGCACTCTGAACTTCAGATCTTCAGCGCGCTGTTAATAGCCTGACACGTTTAGAATGCTGTCCCACAGTCAGTGTGCTAATATAATAATATAATAATGCTAAAATGCTCAGATGAGAATCATTTCTTAATTTATTTTGTTACATCCACAATGTTCTGTGTGTGAGGTTTACAATGTCAGAACACCTGCATGAGACAGGGTGTTAATTACAATCTGCCAGAATGACTCACCACCTTCAGATTTCTCCAACACCAATAAAAATGATCAAATACGGAACATATCTTGCTATTAACAGCATGCGCAGGCCAGAGTGCTGAAGCTCGGAGCGCATTATTATTATGAAGCTAGGGCACATGCGGAGGACATACACACACACACAAGCAAAATATACTTGTTTTCAATTGCATTTATTGGGCCCACTTACTTTTTCTTAGTTCCACCCTCGCGCACCCCCAGGGGCACCACACTTAGGGAATCCCTGCTCTAGGATGATGTCAACGCCAAAACTTCCAAAACATCGTGAAGACTCACCTCTTACAGGAAGAATTGGCGCGCTGTGAGCGTTATCCGTTCTTTCATAAGCCGTTGTTGAATTGTGGTCAGCAGCAGAAGCTTTTCTGTTCTCGCCTCACATTTTTTACAGCAGCGTCCCAAAACGATCTCCTAACACATGGACTTTCTGCTTGCTGATCACGTGACGTGTGACATACACGGATGAAGATCGGCTTTAGAGCTGGGATGTTTGTTCTCACGGTGCAGGGGCTCGTTCTGACGCCCGCACAGTAAAGACATGCCAATGACAGTTAAAGAGTGTTTGAAGTGTTGAAAAGAAGTAGGGCTGAAACAAATCATCAAATGGTTCGATGCATTAAGTTCCTCGATTCATTTTTTTACTGATTCGAAGCTTCGTTAAACGTGCACTCCACAGTCTGAACACATTTTACTGGAGCAATACGTGGTGATCTCGGTGCAGTGGTGGAAAAAAGAGAAACCAGCAACGACGGAAACCATTGTTAGAGGCAGAAACGGTCCAACGTTTGGATCAAGAGTTAAACTACGAGCAAACTACTGAATTGGCTGACTGAGTGGAGGTGGTTCATAGATGTCGCAACCATTATGTCAGAAGGGAATGCCCCCTCCACTTTTTAAAAAAAAAGATGCATTTGGACCCCCCCTCCTGCCACACACACACCTTTTGCTTTCAATTGTTTCAAAGAAATCCATTCCACTTGATTCATTAGAAAAGATTCCGTGTGCTGAAGTCCGTTCCACGTTTTCCTGGTTACTCTGCTGCACGCATGGTGGACGTGACTGACATGGTTGTCAACATAGTTAGAAAATAAAAGACCAAATGAACCAAAGTGAAACTACAGGCTTGTGGAAGCTGGAGGAGGAGTCAGTGCCATACTATCCCATAATAAGCAGTGTCCTTGTCTGATCCCTCCACAGACATGGGGACATGAGGACATTTCTCACAAAGAAGCATAAAATAAGTAAAACTGTCCAGAATGAATGCTGACAGACAGTGGCAGATTGAGCAATCTGGGGGCCCAAGGCGAACACAGACATGGGGCCCCTTACACTAAATTTTCGACAATCTTATCTTTAACTGGATTTGTGAAACTCTCCCCTCTTCTGACACGAGTTATTTTCACTTTTTATTAGTCCTCCTCGTTTTCCTCTCTTTCTCTCCTTTTGAGCACCTTCAATAATTGCTCTGCTTTCTTGTTCCTGTCAGTGCTCCTGTGCTTTTGCCTTTCTTTTTTTTTCTTCTATTTTCCATTTTGGTCTCTGTTTTCCTCCCTTTAAACATTTTCCATTGTCTTTCCTTTTCTGCTTCCTTTTTATGTTTACATAGCCATGTCCTACCTTCAACAACCTGTTTGCTCTCTGAACTTGCTTACATTGGTTGCCACGCCCATGAGCCACGGGTGAGCACAGGTGAACGCCAAGCTCTGACAAATTTATCGATATTGTGGTGCTGAACTGAGATAAATGGTGACAGTTGGCAGTACTATGCCCCCAAGAAGGTGAAACAACAATCCAAACAAAACAAAAACAACAACGACGAGCCTCAGTACGTAGGACAGGGAGAAATGGCAGGTGCGCATGGTGACAGGAAAGAAATATCTGAGTTGATACGCTCTGTCATAAAGGAAGAGATCAGCATTGTGGTTAATAACCTGAACGTGATTATGGATGATATTTCTACTTGTGTGAGAAGACTGGGTGATGTGGAGGAGATTTTACCTAAACTGGACAGTCGGATGTCAAAGTTGGAGTTGGAGAATGCAACGCTGAACAAATCCAACGCCGAGCTGAGAGAGAGGACGGAGCGGCTTGAAATGCAGAGCCGCAAATACAACCTTCGTGTGTTCGGATTATCTGGTGACATTGGAAAAATTAACCTGACTACTTATATGGACACGCTGTTTAAAGAATTGTTCAGAGGAAAACTTATGCGGGAGCCAGAAGTAGAAATGGCGCACTGGATTGGACTTAGGAGGGACGCAGTAGGAAAAGCGATGATGGTGCGGCTGCGGAGGCTTACAACAAAGGAGGAGATTATAAAGAGCGTGCCAGAGAAGAAATTCTTCTGGGAAATAAGGAGTAAGCTGAAGAAGGCTCAGGTGAGACAGGTGGCCTGATTCATCCTGCTACCCTGGTTCTGACTTTCAAAGATGAGATAAAAAGGTTCAATGAACCGAGTGAGACTGAAGCTTACTACAAGACTGATTGAACCAGGGAAGAAGGATGGAGAATAATATGGACTAATTAAAAGACAGTTTAACGAGTGTGAAGATTGACTGTGAGATTACTGCTTAGGTTATGTGAGGATAATGTTTAATTTTTATATAAATATTAAATAACACCGCAAGATGGAAATGATAGCCCACATAATAAGAGTTATATAATTTGGTTATTTATGTGTATAGAGTTGGCGTATAAAATTTTTTAATTTCATTACAGTATTTGAGTTTGAGATGAATGACAGTATGAATGTGTTTGGTAAAATGATAAAAATGTTACAGGAAGCTCAGTATGATTTTTGCAGGCAGGAATTTATTCTAGATTTTGAATGACAGATCATGTTTGGTTGTCGGAAAAGGGGTTTAAAATAGCTCATTTGAATGTGTGCAGTTTGAGCAATAAGGTGGCGGATATTCAAGAAATTTTACAAAGTTATAATTTACATTTGTTAGCAATATCAGAAACACATTTAGATGAAACAAGTAATAATGAAGTAGTAGATATTAGGGGCTATAATATTTATAGACTAGATAGGAATTTGTATGGTGGAGGTGTGGCCTGTTATGTTCAAAATCATATTCCAGTTAGAGTAAGACTAGATTTCATGGTAACTGAAGTTGAGACACTATGGTTAGAATTGCAGATTCCTCATTTAAAAGCTGTCATTATTGGATGTTGTTACAGACCACTGAATGTTCCTATATAGCACTTGGATCAGATAGGAGGTATGTTGGAAAAGGCACGTGATCTGAGAGAAGAATTTTTTTTCTTAGGTGACTTAAATATACACTGGAAATCAGAAAATTGTCCATTGGTGAATAAATTGTTTTCATTTACCAACATTTTGTAATTTATTACAGCTCATGCAGGCTGATACTAGAATTCAGATAAAAAGTGATGGCAAATTTTCTGCAACTTTGATTGACTTAATTTTTACCAATATGGCAAATTTATGTTCTAAAGCCATTTCGATTCCAGTGGGCTGTAGCGACCATAACTTAGGACAATAATTTGTCCTAGCATTGTTACTCTGGAACCAGTTGCCACCCTCAGTTAGGCTGTCCCCATCTCTGCCAGTCTTTAAGAGTCACCTAAAAACACACCTCCTCCGCTTGGCGTTTCCAAAACATGTTTGATTTTGGCCCTCTTTTATGTTGAATTTATTTCACAGTTTTCATTGGTTCACTCAATCCATCCACTCAATCCAATTGTGTTTCACACATTTGTCCTGTACCAGAATGCTTCATCTATCTTGTAATTTGTATTTTGTAATTTGAATTGCTTTTATTGTTGATTTATTCAATATATTTACCTACAACTGTACCATGTTCAGCGCTTTGGGCTTCCTGACAGGGTTGCGGAAGGCGCTTTATAAATAAAGCTTTGATTGATTGATTTGATTGATAATTTAATTGCGGTAACAAGGAAAACAAAGATGCCTAAGAAAGGGCAGTTATTTGTGTGCAGACGGACATGTTCCTATAAGGAAACGAGCTGTGAGATGGGTATCTGCTCCATGGTTGGATGAAGATTTAAAAGAATATATGAGGCAGAGGGATAAACTTAAAAATGAAGCAGTAAAAACTATTAGTCCAGATAAATGGAAAGAGTATCGTAGATTACGAAACTTTGTAACTAAATTAAATAATCATGAAAAACGGTTGTATTATCAAAAAAGACTAACTGATGCAAAATCGGATAGTGCAAAATTATGGGGTACATTGAATGAAATTATGGGTAGGCATAATAGGTCAGCTCCAACTTTTTTGTATGTTGGGGGAACTTATCTCACTAAACCAACAGAAATTGCTAATTATTTAAACCAGTTTTTAACTAAGAAAATTAAGTTGTTGCGAGATTCTATGGAAAATAATCAAAGCAAAGATATTTCCTATCAACCAATTAAACAAAAAATAATGTTAAATAAAAACTGTCAATTTCAATTTGTTAAAGCGACTGAAGGCAAGGTTAAGGAGATAATATTAAAAAGTAAAAATAAACCATCTGGCATAGATAATATTGATATCAAATTGTTAAAGTTAGTAGTAGATTTTATTTCATGTCCTATTGTTCATATAATAAATGGAAGTTTTAAAGAATGTGTTTTCCCATCTCAATGGAAAACAGCAAAAATAATACCTTTAATTAAGAACAATAGAGAACCACTGTCTGGTCAAGACAGTTGACCAATAAGTTTGTTACTAGCTTTAAGTAAAATCATTGAAAAAATTGCATATGACCAAATTCAAGATTATTTTGAGGTATATGAATTGAACACAATATATCAGCATGCTTTCAAAACAAATCATTCAACCACAACTGCACTTATTCAAATAACTGATTATTGCTTGGAGAATATCGATAATAATAAGCTAATTGGTTCTATGTTTCTTGATTTAAGTGCGGCTTTTGATGTTTTAGATCATGATATTTTATTACAAAAACAAACACTATGGATTTCGTACATCTGCTCTCAACTGGACTAAAAGTTATCTTACTAATAGAGATTATAAATTTTATTTCAATGGCAGTTTTTCTGAAAAAGGTCAGATGGAATGTGGTGTTCCACAGGGAAGTTGTTTGAGACCTCTTTTGTTTTCTAATTTTTTGAATGATTTTCCGTGCGTGCTGCAACATGCAACTACAGCAGTATATGCAGATGACATTACTTCAGCACATACGGAGAGTGAAATATTAAAGAGTTAAGAACAGTCGAGCAGTGGATAACTGCTTACAAACTAGTGATTAATGCAGGAAAAACTAAATGCATGGTAGTTGGCTCCAAACATTTACAGACGATGCCAAAGTTACATTTAACTCTGAGGAACAACGTAATGGAACAACTAGAAGAAGTAAAATTACTGGGAGTAATATTTGATTTTAAGTTATCATGGACAAGCCAGATTTATTATGTTTTACAGAAAATGGGGAGAGGTATGGGAATAATTAAATTTTGTTGCAAATATATACCACAATACTTACTTAAAAGCCTTGTTCAATCGTTAGTGCTATCGTGTGTGGATCAAGCATCTATTATTTGGTCCAGCACAAGTGAAAATAATTTGCATAAGCTACAAGTAGCACAAAATAAAGCTGCTCGTATTGTTTTAGGCTGCCCTTACAGAACGAATGTGGTAACTATGCATGAAACACTTGCTTGGCTCAATGTGAAGAGTAGATTGAAGTATTTCTTGATAACAATTGTGCTGAAAATTTTAATTACAAAAACACCAAAAATTATACATAGCAAATTATTGTTTTTCTCAGATAATCATACTTCTAATACACAACAGATAAATGAGATGAAAGGTGTTTTACCACGCAGTAGAACAAATCAAATTCAACGATCATTTCACTATAAAGCTATGATTGCATGGAATGCATTACCTAGATTTTTAATATTTGAAAGTAATAACATTTCTTTTTGGAAGAAACTGAATTTTTTTTTTTTTGTTAACACTTAATTGTATAGTGACTATGAACTCTGTAAAGAAGGATTGGGTATCTGGGTTTGAGGTTGAATACTGGATGTCGATAGCCTGGCAAGCCAGACTAAATAAATGTATTATTTAGTCTGGCCATGCTCCATTGACGGCTCTCGGTTGTGGGGCGGGTTCTACTGTTGTCTTTCAAATGATCTCCGCATTCCACTGGACAATGAATGTGACATACTCTTGTTTCACTCTGTTGCATCATCCCACCCACCAGGCATATAGAGTGCCCTGATTGGCCCACAAAGCAGATAAAACTCTGTGATTTGTTCACTAAGAGATAGAGCACTATGATTGGCCCACCATTATGGACCAATCACAGCTCTGTATGTGTTTGAAACCCCCCTAGAGAGCTGTGATTGGCTAGCCAGAGTCCTGGCAGGAGCTGTGGAGGTTCCAATGGAGCATGCCTAGACCAAACTTTGCAAAGCAAGAATTTGGTCTAGTTCACTAGGCTAGGATGTCGATGGACTATGATACGAAACTATGGACATGAGATCACCATTCTGTTGTATTATTCATTCCCCAATAATACCGTCACTCCAGTGATGGGTAGAGAAGGGCAGACAGCCAAATCAAAGACACCCTGGACTAAGTCACACTTTAACCAAACCCGGTGTAGAGGTCTCGAAACTGGCTCGGAGTTAATTCCAGAAAGCAGAACCGACAACCCAGTAGAACTATTTTCATCAAAGGGTAACGTTCCCTGTAATATTAAAGACTGAGAAGCTCCGGTGTCACAGAGTATTTTCACAGGCACCTGCGTACCATTTTCATTATCAGCCACAAATCCTTGAACATGAACTCTCAGCTTCGGTTTTTATTTTCATCACCGACTGAAAAGGCTGAGTCAGCAAACCGACCTCCCGAGGGGGGGATTGTTTGTGTTCGTTACAGCGTTTTAAAACCAATCAGTCTTTACCTATGTGGCCAGGGTGGTGGCAGTAAAAACCCTGGAGGTTTATTCGCTCCAGGTGGCCTCATGGGAGCGGGACGCTTAAGCCTGATTTATGCTTCTCCGTCTGCGTCAGTGCGGAGGCACGCAACGCCATTATCCGTCCTTGCGTAGGGCTCCGGCAGGCATGCAAGTACGTACGGAGTCAAGCCCACTATTTTAAACATCCGTCGAACGAGACGGATTACGCAAGCTTGTGATTGGTCAGGACGCCGCTGTTGTTTACAGCGCCGCCATTGCAAAGAGAGCCGAGGATAACTAGCAGCAGACACGGAGAAGCTTGAAGAATACCTCACGAAAAAACTCTAAAAATATGAATGTTTCATCCTCCCGTGACTGGAGGAGTGAAAAGATGCGCAGCAAGCGTTTTATTTGTGGACGGAAATGACAGGAAACGTGGGTTTCGAGGTGGGGAGCGCATGAAGCGGTGGGAGAATGAGAGACAAATATGTCCGTGTTAAAAGTCTCTTATATACACAAAAAACACAATATAAACACATGATCTTGGACCGATACATGACAGGATACCACAGAACAGTGCTACGCCCTCTGTGGTCCTGCCGGGCAATTGCTTTGCAACATTCTCCAGGAGACGGAGAAGTAAAAGAGCAAAACGCCTCCGTCAATCCGTGCGTGTCTGTCCCTTGCGGCGATGAGTTAGGGAAAATGCATCAGCTAACAAAGCCGCATCAGCCAGATGAGTTGCTTTTTGTTCAATTAAATATAAAACCAAACGTTCAGGCAAGCACCGTTTCATTTCCTCCATTAATATTAACTCCTTGATCTTCTCAGCTGTGGCAGCTTTGGAGGCAGACAACCATTTTTCAAACAAACACACTTTTTCTCGAGCAAATTCTACATAAGTTTGTCCAGGAGCTTTATACTTGAGTGCCCGGAATTTCTGCCTATATGCTTCAGGAATCAGTTCATAAGAGTTCAAAACTGCAGACTTCACCTTCTCATAATCCATACCATCTTTAATAGATAAAGAAGCCATTACCTCTAGTGCTTTTCCTGACAGCTTGCACTGGAGAATCAGTGACCACACCTCTCAGGGCCAATCGAGGGCAGCCGCAAGTCGCTCGAAAGCGGCGAAGTAGCTGTCCACCTCCGTCTCCCGAAAGGTCGGCACCAAAGCAATGCATTTGCTCACATCAAATTTCCTTCTGTCAGTGGCGTCAGGGTTTCTCTCATCAGCAGGAGGTTCCACATTTCTTCCTTCAGCAGTAGGCTTTGGATCAGTCTTTGTCAGCCAATCTCGCTTCCGCTCCACTGGTGGAGGCGTTTTCACGAAGCATCTGGATTTCGTGATCAAGTTCCATCTTTCGTGATAGCAGCTTTGTCTCAGCTTCGAGCTCAAGACGTTTTAGTTCCAGAGCAGCATCTTGATGACGAGCCTTTTCCTGGGCTTCATACTTTATCCGGGCCAACCGCACTTGTAGGAGTGCAGCCTCAAGGGAACTCAGAGCAGACATAGAAGAAGGAGGTTCATATCGAGGCAGGGTGACAGGCAGAGGAGTAATCTTATGCTCCTCCGGTGTAGTTGTCATCTCACTGGGGGAATCCCTTGGGGAAGCCCCAGGTGGTTTGGCTTGTTCGGGCTCCTCCGTACATTCTTCCACCTGTAGCAAGTTAGTCTCACCAACAGCAGGTGGAGACAGCAAACCACATCTCTCCATTTCCTGAATCACAGCCTCTCTAAAACCCTGCTTAAGCATTGCTCGGGCACCACAGAGGCCGAAGTGGGCAGCCAGCTCCTCCAGAACGTTTTTCCGACATCCCTCAATCGCCTCCCGCGAGGGAGCCTCCAATATCTCCGTCAAACTAGTCATGATCACACAAGAGGAAAGAACACCATGTTACTTCAATATCACAACCACTTGCTATTATTCTTTACACCGTCAAAACACGATTTCTAAACTCCACACAAACGTAGGCTATTATTATAAAAAGTCTCGGGTGAAATTAAATAGTATTTAATGCACAAATCCCGGATGAGCCCTCATTATGTTACACCCCTCCAGGCCTAGGAATTACCAGGAGGGGCAACACAAGTGTGGTGGGAGCAAACACGAGGACAAATAAAAGTTCAAAAGGAGTTTATTAACTAAAAGTGTCCCGGGCAGGTATAAATAAGGTAGATGAAAATAAAAATGCCAGAGGTCTGATTAAATCTATTATACTAAATATAAGTCTAAAGATCTGGGCAAGGCCCCACACTCGTACGATACCCTGCCCGGGGTAAGTTTCCTCCTTCTGGTCCTGTGTTACTCCAACTGTGAGAGACGTCCATGCTCTCCCTTTTCTCTCTCTCTTTCTGGAAGCCGGTGGTTCTCCTCCAGGAAAAGATCTCTGTGTCGGTATAAATATGGAAGTCTCTAGTTCTCTCGGTTTCCCTCTGGTTGTGTCAAAATGCGGTCTCAGTTCTCTTTCTTAACATTCGTTTCGATGTCTCACTATGGGATACGCCACTCCGCGGATTCCTCAGAAGCACTTATCTCAATACGCCAATCCTGATTGGCCAGTGACCGTGACGTACGCGTCACCTGCTACTATAAGTAGCAAGCGTCCCAACGCACGCACCATTCAATCACCTCTTCTCGCTTCGGTGGTCGCTTATCTCTAAGGTAAGTTAACTCAACTGTTCACAGACGGAGCCAGCTAATATTCTCTCCGTCGCCGAACGTTAACTTACCGTCCTGTCCTGACCTTCACCATAGGTTCGGGGCATAACGAGCAGCCTCACACTCCAGTGCATCTGTTTGTTCTCTTGCTAACACACCAGTTAGCCAGCATGGAAGCCGCTCCTCCCACCAGAGGAGTCGACGGCGCAGGAGCTCGCCTCTGTACCTGTGGGAACAAAATCTCAAGCAAAGACCCGCACAAGGTCTGCTCGAGCTGCCTCGGGCTGGAACATGCCCAGCTGGCATTGGAAGTCCCCGGGTCATGTGAGAGCTGCGCTTGCTTCACCCTGAAGAGCCTTCGCCGGCGGCTAGCGCGCCAAGCTAGCCTGTCGGGGAAGGACCCTTGCCTGCCGGCCCCTGGGCCACCGCCTGGGGACGCCAGCGAACATGTCCTCCCGGAGCCGGAACCGTGTGCCGAACTCAGCTGGGGCTCACAGCTCGAACCGGCCGGTCCGAGCCACCCCGTCGAGGACGTGTTGGAGTTGGACTACGGAGACGACGAGGACACCTCGGAACTCCTCATTTCAGAGGAGGACGAGGATGACGACGTTTTTCTCCCCATCGCTCATGCCTCCATGCCTAGCTTTCCGTCCTCTCCCAGGGATGGAGCGGCTTCTCCGGCCGCCCACCTGGACATGCAGTCAATCTGCCGACGCGCTGCGACCAGGCTCAACATCCCTTGGCCCACCGTGGTCACTGAGGCTGTCAGATCCCGCTACGAGGGAAAGAAGCTGCCTCAGGCCACAAGGGCGGCAAAGCCTCTCCTTCCCGCCTTCCTGGAGCTTCTCCAAGAAGTGAGGTCCTCCTGGGACAAACACCCTTTCAGCTCCAGGTATCCTGTCCAAGGAGCCTCCTCGCTGGACTTCGAGGGGATGGAGAAGGCTGGCATGCTTCGCATGCCGCCGATGGAACCGCTGGTTGCAGCCCACCTGCACCCACGGCTCTCGGCAACTTCCTCCAGGCCTCCCGCTCTCCTTGCGAAGGCGGACCGCTTCCAGTCGGCGCTGAACGAGAGGGCGTACAAGGCTGCCGCCATCTCGGTCCGAGCTTTGAACGTCTCCTCCATGCGCTCGGCGTACCAAGCCGAGCTCTGTGAGGACATGAATACGAAGCCGGACCCGGAGGTGTGGGAGGAAATCACCGTACTGACCGACATCTGCCTGCGTGTGCAGCGCTGCGCGGTCCAGGCTACGGCTAAAGCTATGGGCATGATGGTGCTTCAAGAACGTGCACGATGGCTGAACCTCACCAACCTCTCTGATAGAGAGAAGGAGGACATTTTGGACATACCAATCGTGCCTGAAGGCATTTTTGGCTCTGTCCTGGCATCAATGCAGCAACGGTGTGAGGCCAAAAAGAAAGAGGATGAAGCCCTTCATCTCTGCCTTCCCCGTAAGCCCTCACCGGCGCTGCCGGCTCGGCCGAACCTTCCTCAGGCAGCTGCCAGAGCCCAGCCTCAGTTCCGGATCCCATAGCGCCCGAAGCCTCAAGCTGTCCAACCAGCTCCTTCGGGCTCAGCGCTTCGACCAGTTTGGCCTCAGAGATCCGGCAACCAAGCCGCTCCGCCGTCGGGACAACCCACCCGACCCGGCGGTCAGCAGGTGAGGAAGAAGAAGAGGGCAGCCTGACGGAGTTCTTTCCCTCCCGACGCTGCAGCTGGCAGTTCCCCGTTCGCCAGCTCCTCCTGTTCGATGTTGCCATGGTGCCTTCTCCCCCCCTCACGGAACCCCTCCGGCAGAGTCCCCGAGCGGTCCAGGGTGGGGCCAGAACGTGCAGCCGGCTCAAAACACACGTCACAAGCACTCACACAGTTTTTTACAAACATGTCACGCTCAAGGAGCATTAAAACGTTCGCTGACGCATCCAGACGAAATGTCAAAGGCGCAGCAAAAATCAATAAAAATGTTACCCATGAGCGGAACCAGGCGGGGGCGGCCCCTGGCGGACTTACCCGCCAGCCACGGGTCGTCCCCGTACGCCTGGGCCGTCAAAGCACAAAGCCCCCGCGCATGCGCAGTGGTTGCCACAAGCACCGCTGCCCCACAACCTCTGGAGGGAGCTGCTGCTCCGTGTGTCACGGCTGTGTCACCGCTCTCCACTCACATGGAGGAATGGACAGCGGTTTCTGCTTCACTTTGGGTGCTGAGAACTATTTCGAGAGGTTACAGGCTCCAATTCGCCTCAGTTCCTCCTCGATTCTCCGGCGTAGTGTTCTCCCACGCCCAGGGGACGTCAGCTCACGTCCTTCAGGGAGAAATCTCCTCCCTGCTGGAGAAGGGAGCGATATGCATTGTGCCTCCCGATCGGTCTCAGAGCGGTTTCTACTCCAGGTACTTCCTTGTCCCGAAACGGGGAGGGACCGGGATTCGCCCGATCCTGGATCTGAGGGCCCTGAACCGATGCCTCAGAAAGTACAGATTCAAAATGCTCACGCTCTCATCCCTTTTGTGTCTGATTCACCAGAACGACTGGTTCACCTCAATCGACCTGAGGGACGCCTCGTCTCGTCTCGTCTTCCTCCGCTTATCCGGGTCCGGGTCGCGGGGGCAGCATCCCAACTAGGGAGCTCCAGGCCGTCCTCTTCCCGGCCTTGTCCACCAGCTCCTCCGGCAGGACCCCAAGGCGTTCCCGGACCAGATTGGAGATGTAACCTCTCCAACGTGTCCTGGGTCGACCCGGGGGCCTTCTGCCGGCAGGACATGCCCGAAACACCTCCCCGGGGAGGCGTCCAGGAGGCATCCTGACCAGATGCCCAAACCACCTCAACTGGCTCCTTTCGATCCGGAGGAGCAGCGGTTCTACTCCGAGTCCCTCCCGAATGTCCGAGCTCCTCACCCTATCTCTAAGGCTGAGCCCGGCCACCCTACGGAGGAAACTCATTTCGGCCGCTTGTATCCGCGATCTCGTTCTTTCGGTCATTACCCAAAGCTCATGACCATAGGTGAGGATTGGGACGTAGATCGACCGGTAAAGGTGAGGGACGCATACTTTCATATTCCCGTGTACCCTCCACACAGGAAATTTCTGAGGTTTGCCTTTCAGGGAGTGTGTTACGAATACACCGTGCTCCCATTCAGCCTCTCGCTGAGCCCGAGGGTGTTTGTCAGGTGTACGGAGGCAGCGATCGCCCCTCTGAGAGGGAGGGGCATTCCGCTGGCCACGTATTTAGACGACTGGCTCCTGCTGGCACGATCCAGAGAGGAGGCAGCGTCAAACACGCTGGTTGTGATCCATCACTTGTGTGGTCTGGGTTTCAGAATAAACTGGCAGAAAAGCGCTTTACTCCCCTCCCAGAAAATAACCTTTCTAGGTCTGAATCTGGACTCAGGGGCGTTCACGGCCCGTCTCTCGACACCGCGCGTGAACACGCTCTCGCTCTGCCTGGCGCGCTTCCGCCTACACAGTTCGGTGCGGTTTGCGTTATGCCTCAGGCTTGTGGGTCTCATGACGTCAGCTATTTCAGTGGTACCACTCGGCCGTCTACACATGAGATATTTTCAACGCTGGGTGGCTTCTCTGGGTCTCTCTCCAGTGCGCCAAAGAGCGCTCAGGGTGACGGTCTCTGCAGTGTGCGTTGCAGCGCTCCGCTGTTGGCGTCACCCCTCCCTCTTGGCACAGGGGGTGCCTTTGGGGTTGGTTCTCGTGAGGAAAGTGGTCACGACAAATGCGAGCCTGTCAGGTTGGGGGGGGCTCCTGGATGGTCGCTCTGTCAGGGGTGTGTGGAGCAGAGAGCTCTGAGGGACACACATAAATTATCTGGAACTCCTCGTGGTCTTTCTGGCCCTGAGGCGCTTCCTGCCTTTTCTCTCCGGCCATCATGTCCTAGTGAGAACAGACAACACCACGACTGTGGCTTATATAAACCGCCAGGGGGGGCTGCGCTCCATGCGGTTACACACGCTGGCACGCAGACTGATCCTATGGTGCAGCAGGCATCTCCTCTCAATCAGAGCCACCCTTGTCCCAGGTGTTCTGAATCGGGGGGCGGATCTGTTGTCCAGAGGGACACCCCTGTACAGGGATTGGAGCCTGCATCCAGCTGTGTTGGAACAGATTTGGATCCGGTTCGGCACAGCCGTAGTGGATCTTTTTGCCTCCAAGGAGAATGCTCAGTGTCCACTGTTTTTCTCCCTGCGCGACCGAGACGCTCCACTCGGCGTGGACGCGCTGGCGCACGACTGGCCACGGAGACTGCTTTACGCTTTTCCCCCAGTGGCCCTGATACCACCCACCTTGCTGAGGGTACGAACCCAGCGCCACACTCTCATTCTGGTGGCCCCATACTGGCCAGCCATGCATTGGGTGGCGGACATTTTCCAACTCCTGGAGGGCCAACCTTGGAAACTGCCGCTTCGCAGGGACCTGGTGTCCCAAGCAGGAGGCTCGATCTTCCACCCTCATCCAGAACGGCTGGCCCTGTGGGCCTGGCCCCTGAGGGGTGCGGGCTAGTGTCAGCAGAGCTGCCCCAGGCAGTCATTCGAACCATTCAGAATGCTAGGGCCCCCTCCACTAGGTCCCTATATGACTGTAAATGGAGGGTGTTTGAAGCCTGGTGTCAGGGTAGGGAGGTCTCACCCTTCCAATGACCGGTGAGCATCATTCTGTCTATCCTGCTAGACTTGTTGGATGCGAAGAAGGCTTTCTCCACCATTAAAGTGTACCTAGCAGCCATTTCCGCCCGACACTTGGGTTTTGGGAAGAAATTGGCAGGTCAACACCCCCTGGTGTGTAGCTTCATGAGGGGCGCGCGCAGGCTTCTCCCTGTGTCTCGACCCCTGGTGCCCTCATGGGATCTGTCCTTGGTGCTGTCGGCCCTCTCCGGGCCTCCATTTGAACCTATGGACAGCCTGGACCTTAAGATCCTGTCTCTTAAGGTGGTGCTACTCCTGGCTTTGGTATCTGCAAAGCGAGTTAGTGACTTACAGGCTCTCTCTGTGCACCCATCCTGCACCCAGTTTGCACCAGGTGACATGAAGGTGTCCTTGAAGCCCAACTCTGCCTTTGTGCCTAAGGTAGTGGGCTCCTTTTCTCCTATTATCCTCACAGCTTTCTACCCACCACCCTTCTCCTCTCCTGAGGAGGAGCGGTGGCACAAGCTGTGTCCGATTCGCACGCTCAAGGAGTATGTGAATCGGGCGGAGAACCTTCGCAGGGGGGACCAGCTTTTTGTGTCATGGGGTGGGCCTCGTAAGGGGAAACCCGTCACAAAGCAGCGGCTTTCCCACTGGATTGTGGAGGCTATTTCTATGGCTTACTCCTGTCAGGGCATTCAGGCACCTGTTGGGCTCAGGGCCCATTCTACTAGGGGCCTGTCTGCCTCTTGGGCCCTTTTTCGGGGGCTGTCAATCCAGGAGATTTGTGCTGCAGCAAGTTGGGCTTCTCCACTTGCATTTGCACGCTTCTATAAGCTTGATTCTTCGGTCCCTGCAATGACTCACACGATTCTGAGTGTGGGGTCTTTGGTGGGCCAAGACGTATCCCTGTAGGTTGGTGATCGCTGGATAAGCTGTCTGGCAATACGGGAGTCTCCATATCCCATAGTGAGACATCGAAACGAATGTTAAGAAAGAGAACTTTAGGTTACTGTCGTAACCCCGGTTCTCTGAGTAACATGAGTGAGATGTCTCACCAGACAACCCTTCTTGCTGGGCGAAGCGAGAAGAGGTGTTTATCTTGAATGGTGCGTGCGTTGTTACGCTTGCTACTTATAGTAGCAGGTGACGCGTACGTCACGGTCACTGGCCAATCAGGATTGGCGTATTGAGATAAGTGCTTCTGAGGAATCCGCGGAGTGGCGTATCCCATAGTGAGACATCTCACTCATGTTACTCAGAGAACTGGGGTTACGACAATAACCTAAAGGTTTTCTCCATTTCGTCTCTCGTCTCTTGTCTCTGAACTCTCCGTGTCGTTCCTATGTTGCTCGTCTCCCTCTTGCTCGATCCATGTGCCCGATCCGTGTTCGATCTCCCTCGATTGTGCTTGCTCTCTGTTCGATCTCCTCGACCCTGCTCGATCCATCTCCTGTTCCGTTTCTTCCTCCTTTGTAAGGCTTCTTGATGAGTGCTGATTATCCGCAGCTGGTGTCAGCGGGCTGTCGGGAATGGTGCGTCTCAGCGTGCCTCTTTCCATGGTGCTGATCCTCTAGATCTCAGCGGGGCCGGAGCGAGGAGCTGTCCAAGGTGTAGTGGGTAAACAGAGCTCAGGAATGCAGAGGTCATGACAGAGCCACTAGGATAACTTCATTTCATGCTTCATGTTTTGACTACCGCTTCGAGTTTTTTACGAACGCTCCCGCCTCTCATCTTCTTTTCTGCTTTCTCTTCTTCTTATTTGTGGTCTTTTGGCACTTGCAAGCAACAATTTGGTGCATTACTGCCACCAACTGGATTGGAGTGGAATGACTACCAATCACTTCCTGTTAGTGCTTCGGCGTATTAAAGGAATAGTCCATTGTGGCATTAACAGAGGGGTGCCAGCAGTCAGGGCTATGGGACCTCAAGTGGCCTCCGACCTATGCCTAATGGTAAAACCGCCACTGCTGACAGATGCTTCTGGTTAGAACTGTGATGCACTCGGTTTGCCCGCGGGTGATCTGGGTGAGGCCACAGAACCTGCAAAGACTCTCAAAAGGCCTGGAAAACGACCGGTTCGTCTGGCTCCGGTGAAGTGGAGACGGTCATAGTGGGAAGTTTTGGTAATGGAAACACACCAGTTAGTGCCTGGCTGGCCTATAAAAGACACCCGTTCCTCCTTTTTGTGTGAG